GTCTAATGAGGGGTTGGTGAAGATCTTTTCCCAGTCCGAAGGTAGCCTTTTTGTCTTACTGAAAGTGTCCTTTGCTTTACAGGGTACCTGAGCTGGCCTTGGTCCATAACCATACTGATGAATATTTTGCATATTACCATAGAACCTTCATCTGGCGATGGATGGAGATAGAGACAAAGACCCACATTGGAACACTGGACTTAACTCCCTAGGTCCAAACGAGATGCAGATGGAGATGCAGAACGTGAGCAAGGAAGGCAGGATCAGAGGGAAACCTCATCCAACGATGGATGGAGAGAGAGATGGAGACCCACATTGGAACACTGGACTGAGCCCCCAAGGTCCAAATGAGGATCAGAAGGAGGGAGAACATGACAAAGGATATCAGGACCGCGGGGTGTGCGTTCACCCACTGATAGATGGGGACTGATCTAATGAGAGCTCACCAAGGCCAGCTGGACTGGGACTGAACAAGCATGTGATCAAACTGGATTCTCTGAATGTGGCTGACATGGGGGCTGACTGAGAATCCATTGACAATGGCACTGGGTCTTGTTTCGTCTGCATGGACTGGCTTTTTGGGATCCTAGTCTGTTTGGATGCTCACCTTCCTAGACCTCGAGGGAGGGGAGGGAATGGGGGGGATGGGAGGGTATTGGGAGGAATCCCTGAGTGCTCTTAGGACTGGAGAGGGAGGAGGAGAGGGAATGGGGGGAATGGGAGGGTATTGGGAGGAGGGGAGAAAGTGGAAATTTTTATACATAAATAAATAAGTAAATTAAAAAAACCCATTACAATTGTCTTTGGCTTCTCAGTCAGCCTTCATTGCCAGCCACATTCAGAGTGTCCATTTTGATCACATGATCTAGTACTCCCTGTCCAGCTGGCCTTGGTCAGCTCCCATTACATCAGTCCCAATGTCTGAGTGCGTGGACGCACCGCTCGTGATCCTGACTTTCTTGCACATGTTCTCCCTCCTTCTGCTCTGCAACTGAACCTTGGGAGCTAGGTCCAGTGTTCCAATGTGGGTCTCTGTCTCTATCTCCATCCATCGCCATATGAAGGTTCTATGGTGATATGCAAGATATCAGTGTGGTTATAAGACAAGGCCAGTTCAGGCACCCTCTCCTCTGCTGCCCAAGGAACAATCTAGCGACCTCTCTTTGAACCTGGGAACGCCTCTAGAGACAAGTCTCTTGCAAACCCTAAAATGGCTCCCTTAATTAAGATATTTACTTCTCTGCTCCCATATCCACCCTTCCTCCCTCCCACCCATCTCATTGCCTCAAGCTCTCCTGAATCCTCCCCTTCTCTCTTCTCTCTACCAATCTCCCCTTACATCCATCCCCCAGCCCTGTGCACCCAAGTTTTGCCTGGCAATCTTGTCTACTTCCAATATCCAAGAGGATAGCTATATGATTTTCTTTGGGTTCACCTTCTAATTTAGCTTCTCTAGTATCACGAATTATAGGCTCAATATTCTTTATTTATGCCTAGAATCCACTTATGAGTAAGTCCATACCATATTTCTCGTTTTGGGTCTGGGTTACGTCCTCAGTAAAGCGTTTTCTATTTCCATCCATTTGCATACAAAATTCAGGATGTCATTGTTGTTTACCTCTGAGTAAAATTCTCATGTGTATATGTTCCACACCTGCTTTAACAATTCTATTGAGGGGCACCTAGGTTGTTTCCAGGTTCTGGCTATTACAAACAGTGCTGCTATGAATATAGTTGCTCAAATGCCTTTGTAGTATGATAGGGCATCTCTTGGGTGTATTCCCAAGAGTGGAATTGCTGGGTCCTGAGGGAGGTTGACTTCCAGTTTCCTGAGAAACTGCCACACTGATTTCCACAGTGGCTGCACAAGTTTGCATTCCCACCAACAATGGATGAGTGTTCCCCTTACTCCACATCCTCTCCAGCATAGGCTGTCATTGCTGTTTTTGATTTTAGCTATTCTGACAGGTGTAAGATGGTATCTCAGAGTTGTTTTGATTTGCATTTCCCTGATCGCTATGGAGGTTGAGCATGACCTTAAGTGCCTTTTGGCCATTCGAAGTTCATCTGTTGTGAATTCTCTGTTCAGTAGAGTACCCCATTTTTTAATTGGGTTAACTAGAGTTTTAGTGTCTAGTTTCTGGTGTTCTTTGTATATTTTGGAGATCAGACCTATGTCTGTTGAGGGGTTGGTGAAGATCTTCTCCCAATCTGTAGGTTGCCTTTTGGTCTTAATGACAGTGTCCTTTGCTTTCCAGAAGCTTCTCAGTTTCAGGAGGTCCCATTTATTCATTGATTCTCTTATTGTCTGTGCTACTGGGGTTCTACCTAGGAAGTGGTCTCCTGTGACCATGTATTACAGACTACTTCCCACTTTCTCTTCTATCAGGTTAAATGTGGTCAAATTTATATTGAGGTCTTTAATCCATTTGGACTTGAGTTTCGTGCTTGGTGATAGATATGGATCTACTTTCATTCTTCTACACGTTGACATCCAGTTATGCCAGCACCGTTTGTTAAAGATGCTTTCTTTCTTCCATTATATACTTTTAGCTCCTTTGTCGACAACCTCCCTCAGGACCCAGCAATTCCACTCTTGGGAAGGTACCCAAGAGATGCCCTATCATACTACAAAAGTATTTGTTCAACTATGTTCATAGCTGCACTCTTTGTAATAGCCAGAACATGGAAACAACCTAGGTGCCCCTCAATAGAAGAATGGTTAAAAAAGGTATGGAATGCATTAGAGTTTTACTCAGCAGTAAAAAACAATGACATGTTGAATTTTGCATGCAAATGGATGGAAATAGAAAACGCTTTACTGAGTGAGGTAAGCTAAATCAGAGGGGGCCTTCATCCGACGATGAATGGAGATTGAGATGGAGACCCACATTGGAGCACTGGACCTAGCTCCCAGCGTTCAATTGCAGAGCAGAAGGAGGGGGAACATGAAAAAGGAAGTCACGACCGCCAAGGGTGCGTTCACCCACTGATACAAGGGACTGATCGAATGAGAGCTCACCAAGGCCAGCTGGACTGGGACTGAACGAGCATGTGATCAATCCAGATTCTCTGAATGTGACTGAAATGGGGGCTGACTGAGAAGCCATTGACAATGGCACTGGGTCTTGTTTCGTCTGAATGGACTGACTTTTTGAGATCCTGGCCTGTTTGGATGCTCATCTTCCTGGACCTGGAGGGAGGGGGGAGAAGCTTGGATTTCCCACAGGGCAGGAAACCCTGACTGCTCTTGGGAATGGTGAGGGAGGGGGAGAGTGAGTGGGGGGAGCGGGAGGGTATTAGGCGGAGGGGAGGAATTGGAAATTCTTTAAATAAATAAATAAGGAAAAAAAGAACAATAAAAATTAAATAAAATAAAATACAATGATGCTCCAATTCTTTCAAATTCCCTCATATTTTTTATCACGTTTTATATGAATCTCAACAGCAAGGAACCTAAAAGATATATTTTTATGCAGTTTACAGGAGTCAGCTCATAAAATAACTATGAATTACAAGTTCAGTGAGTGAAAATACCAAGAATAATGTACTTGTGATTCCTTTTTTGTGATATTTAAATCCTAACCTAATCTTCTTGTCATGTCCCTCCCCTTTTCCTAACCCCTCCCCTTATCTCTTTTTTCTTCCCATTGCACTATCCACTACCCCTCCATTTTTTCTGCTCAGATACAGGCCATGGATATCAGTCAGTCAAGGTATATCAAGCTGCACTGTGACCAGACTACCCCACCATCAGCAACGTTAGATGAGTCAATCCTGCAGAAGAAATGGGTCCCAAAATTAGGCAACAGAGTTAGAGACATCACCTGTTTTCACTGATACGAGGCTCATATTATGACCAAGTAACACAAGTGTAACATATATGCAGAGGTCCCATAAGGCTCCTTGGTTATCATTTCAGCCTCTCTTAAACCCAAGAGCCCAGGTTTGATATTTCTGTGGATTTTCACACCTTGACACCATTGTGTCCTACAGTCTTTCCTCCTTTCTCCTGCAGAATTCTCCAGGCTGAACCTGGAGAATGTTTGCCTGTGGGTATCTGCATCTGTTTCCATAGTTGCTGGGAGAAGACTCTCTGATAACAGTTGGACTATGCACCAATTGGTTCTGGATGTTGTGACCTACTTCTGAGTGGCTTAAGTCCTCTAAAGTTGAGGGCAAGGCCCAGCAGCAGGGCCAGGGACTAGTAGGGATAACCAAGGCCTGGAGCAGGACATAAACCAGAGATGGGTGATGTTCTATTGGCAAGCAGGTTACTCATGGTTAGTGTGGCCTGCTCCTGAGCACCAGAAGTCTACTGGGGTTGAGGGAAGTGTCCAGGGATGATCTGTGATAGCATAGCAAACAATATGATATTTGTTTTTTGATTTGGTTTGGTTATTGATTTGTTTATTTTGATTTTGTCTTTTGGTGTTTTGTTTTTTTTATTTTTGTTTTTTAAGACAGGATTTTTCTATGTAGCTTAGAACATTTCCTGAAACTCACTCTGTAGACCAGGTTGACTAATTCTCCTTCTCTTAGCCGTCCTTAGTCACCAGTAGTTTATAACCATGGATGGGAAGTTGTAAACTTTATTTTTCTCCATGTTAACATGTCCATTGATATTGTTATTTTCCCAGTGTTTACTATACAGCTATTTCTAGGAGACATTGTTTGACAGCCTTTATCCTTATTTTCTAACCCTAAGAAACTTCTGCACCACTCTTTTGCTGTGTTCTTGAGTCATTGGTGGAGGAGCTGTGCTGTGATTTTACTCATCGCTATTAGACAAGACCTGTCAATGTATCCTCAATAATACAATAGTGACTCTTCTAATAGCTGGTAATCAACAACTCTCAATTGAATTTGTACATCCTGATTGCATGTAGGAAATTTTCACAGTATGCTAAATGCTAATTTGTTAATCAGCACTTCTAGGGGAGGTATCCAGCATTCTATCAAGGTAACTTGGCAGCATTTTCAGGTAGAACTGCATACATAAAGTGTTTCAAAAGGAAATTTTAATTTAATTTTGCCAGCAAAAATTTAAAAAGGGAAATTGAAATTTGCCAGAGACAGTGAGTTTTAGACAACAAAGTCAACTGACCAAGTTTTCTCTCCTTTTTCCCAAGACATACAACTTTTTAAAATCAACCCCCTATCAAAATTGGGCTTAAGTGGCTTTCACATGTAGGGCAAGCTTAGGTATTGACAGAGGCTGTTCCTTCGTTCACAACTACTCTGACCCCAAAATAATCACACAGAAATTATATTATTTGCAATACTGTTTGGTCAATGCCTTAAGTATATATTTAGCTATCTCTTATACCCTAAACTAACCTGTCTTCATTAATCTCTGCATTATCACAAGGCCGTAGCCTATTGGAAATTTCTCAGTGAGCTCCCATCAAGGCCTCTGTCTCCTGTGGTGGCTACATGGTTTCTCTCCAACTCTGCCTACACTCTCTCTCCCTCTACATCTCTGTTTAGATTTCCTACCTTGCTGTACTCTGTTAATTCATTAGCCAAAATTAGCTTTATTCAAATTAACCAATAAAATCAACACATATACAGTAGAACTTCCCACATCACTCAGGAATCCTCAAATTTCATCCTTTTATGTCAATTCTCAGGAGCCATTCATCTGCTTTTTCAGACATGCTATTTCCTTGCACCGAAGCATCTCAAATATCTTAGTTTAGCCCAGAGATCCTCTTTTTATCATTTTCTCACCTCAAAAAAAAACAAGTATATAACCCACATACAGCACATTATATAGAACATGGCAATGAAATTAGATCTAAAGGTTTACACTAAAAACACTTTTGAATGAGGCATCTCCCATGAAACTAAAATGATAAAAAAATTTGAGACAGGATCTACATATGTAGCACAGTTTTGCGTGTATCTCTGAAACCACCATGGTCAACAGGGTAATGTTCCACAGGAAGCAAGAAGGTATTTTGGAAAAAAAAATGACTAAATAATCTTCGTTAGTCTAACACTAAGTAGTTTATTCTAGCAATATTTGGGCACCACACATTTGGGTGAAAACTGTCCTTGTATTTATTAACTCGATGCCATGTACACAATAAATCACAAAGTAAGCTAAATAAAGATTCGATGTGAATATATCAAAACTCTTTATAAAACAGAGGTGAAACCTTCCATAAAGATGGGTTCTATAAATTGAGTACATGTGACACATTCCATAAGGATGGGTGCTGTAGAATGACTGCAAGCAACACTTTCCACTAAGTTGGGTTCTTTAGACCAATGAGATAAAAAGAAGATCACTATAAAGGCTGCTGCAGGAATTCCTACCACCAGCAGCCTTCAAGCTACCCACACACTTTGGCTTGGCCTCTTTTAATATTATGCCGATGTAAATCACGTAGGCGACCACGTTTCTGGCTGTGGGATTTGGTTACTGTTCCTCATTCCAGCAGAGAATTGTGATCTGTGAGTCTACCCCTAAATAAATAACCTTCTATTATTCTTAATTCTGAGCTAGGATGGGATTTCTTTTAAGCATCCTTCTTCATCCAGTGCCCATGTGGATTCGGACTCCACACCTAAGAGGTGGATGACCAGAAGGCCTAACCAGTCCACAACCCAGAAAGTCTCCCAACCATGACTGCTTGGCTTATATTTACTAAGCAGATTTTTTTTAAAAAAAAAACAAAAAACAATCAAAGAACCCACCACAGCAGAGCTAACTGTGTGTAGCAACTTGAAAATTTCCAAAGCTCGTGAACATCCTCCTCCCCTACTTCTGCATTCCTTGCCTCATGGTTTCTTTTGTGCAGCTTCTGGTTTGTGCTTCCTGTCTGTGAGTTCTGGGCTTCTTGCTCCGTGTCCGGAATTGATTTAATTGCTTTTAATTCGTCAAGCAAAGCATATTTCTCACATTTAACCAGTACCAAAGCAGGAAACTAAAGTGACTCAGGACCATTCCTGTTGCCACCTGTTGCATTGCAGTTAGTCACCACTCTGCAACCAGATATCTGCTGGTCAATAAAAATTATTACACCTAGAACAATTTCCCAGATCTCATAAATAAATAAATATGGTAAATTACATTAACATTGAAACTTTTTGTAATTTTTTTCTAGTACTATGAACTGTATTTTCCAAGGCTTATATGATTATGATGATACATCCATTTATTGAATACTGGGACACAGTGTTTTTCTTCATATTATACCCATGAGAAAATTACTTGATAACAGAGCCAAGAATGAGGCACTTTTAGAAATGATACCATCTTTACAGACTAAGAATGTACAGCTTGTTAACAGGATTAATACCATCAAAAATCAAAAGTTACCTGAAAAAATTAATACAATTGAAAAGGCACCAACAAAATTGAATCCATGTCAAAGGTTCTGAGAAATTACTTGAAAGAATTTATACAGATGAATTTCACATTTACAATTTTTTAAAAAGTTATGATAGGTTAGCAGATAGAGTATCTCTTCAGTATGTCATTCTGCACACTATCCAAATAACGTTCAAAGACGAGGTGTTATCATTAAAGAAAAAACTTCAGACCTTGGAATCACATGTGCAGAATGAGGACCAAATGCGAGAGACATCTGTGAAATCATTAGCAATATATACAGGTCAATGATATAGAACAATTCTGTATTCTTTCAATTAAGTTTTACATAAATGCTGATTGGCCAGTAGCCAGGAAGAAAGTATAGGCAGGACAACCAGATAGGAGGTAGAGGTGGGGCAATGAGAATAGGAGAATTCTGGGAAGGAGGAAGTCCATTCTTCCCCAGTTCTGTCCACACACTGAAGAAACAGGATGAGATCTGCCCTGTTGAAAAGGTACAGAGCCATGTGGCTAACATAGATAAGAATAATGGGCTAATATAGGTTATAAAAGTTAATAAAAATCCTGAGCTAAGCGGGCAATCAGTTTATAATGTATGTAGATCTCTGTGTGTTTTTCTTTGGAGCTAAATGTCTGTGGGACCTGGTGGGAGGATAGAAATCAGAAGAGACAGAAAGTTCAGTCTACAGGCCAGGGGACTCAGGCTTTACAAAAGATAATAGTAAAAAGAGTTGAAATGATTGAGGAAATTTTAAGAGCTGATAGACAGGGAAAGAATGCTCAAGGACAGGATTTAACATCACCAGCAGCTGTCAGAGATGACTTCCTCAGGGTTTTAACTTCCAGCAGTGGAGTTTTCTTTTTTACCCCACATTCTCTTATGCATAAATTGTGAGCAGTAGTTTTAATCTTGTTCATTCTTACAGGGATACTATGGAACTTCAGAGTTGTTTTGATTTACATTTCTCTAAAGGTTAAGGGTGTTATGTTTGAGCATTTTTGAATGTTTTTCAGTCATTTTAAGTTCTTTTTTTGAGAATTTTCAGTTTAGGTCAGTTACATATATTTTTATTGGATTAATTGTTCCTTTGGTGACCAATTTCCTGAGTTCTTCATATATTTTTTAAGTGGATTAATCGTTAGTAAAGATATTTTTCCAATTATATAGCCTGATATTATTTATATCTTGTTGATTATGTCCTTTGCTATACAGAAGCTTCTCAGTTTAGGAGATCTGATATATTAGTTGTTTCTCTCAATGTTTATGCCACTGAATGTGTGTTTGAGATATGCCAGTGCATTCAAGTATACTTCTAATTTTTCTTCTATGAAGTTCAGTATTGTTGGATTTATGTTGAGGTCTTTGATTCATTTGGATTTCGGTTTTGTGCATAGAGATAAATATGGATTTCTTCATTCTTCTACATGTTGATGTCTAATTAGGCCAGGATCATTAGTTAAATATGCTTTCTTTTCCATTTTCTTATCAGCTAGGCAGACTTACAACATAAGAGAAGGATAATTTACAAAGTTTTAATTAGATATTCAATGGTTAAGGTCTTAGTCGTAAGATTCTTATAGGAGACCTTGAGCTACTAGTAAAATTCTTAAAGGGAGCAATGATTCAATTTCCAGTAGAGAGCAAATAGAAGTTGCCAGACACGTACTCAATCAGATGAATTATAGATCAACAGGTAAAGATCAATTGTTGATATAATAATTAACAAGTACAGCATATTAATTATGATTCAGCTATAGCAAGTGTGTGTATGAAGTACAAAACTTATTTTACTACAGTTTTATATAAAAACTATGCCTTTTATAGCAATATCTTTTCATTTTTGCCAGTTAAGATATTAAACTCGTAATTTAAAGCAATACCTTATCTAATACAAAATAGCAAGATGAAATCTAGGAGATAGTTTTACAGAGAATTGAATATGATCAATGTTTTCTTATACTAAACAATAAATTGATTAATAATTTTAAGTTAATGATTCTTGGACAATCGCATTTGCTCAATTTCAAGACCAGATTAATAATTTTTTCCCAGCTGACCAGTTACTGCAGTTTACTCAACAGCATTCATTCATTTTTTTTTAAAACAGTAGCAAAGAATCCCTTAAAGGATGCTTTGTTGACTTTCACTGATGGCTCATTTATTGGAAGAGCTGCTTACATAGTCAATGGCGAAGGACACATGGTACAGACAGAACCAGCTTCAGCTCAAATAGTTGAGCTGTGAGCAGTGGCTCTAATTAAGAATTTTTCTAATAATGCTTTTAATCTATATACTGACAGCCAGTATATTTATGATGCATTGCAAATCTTGGAAACAGTATCATGTATAGGAACTAACAATGAACAAATTAAGACATTGTTTCAGCAGATTCAGGAAGCCATACAATGCAGAAAATTACTATGTTTTATGGGACATAGCAAAGCACATTCAAGTCTTCCTGGTCCATAAGCTGGTGGTAATGCTCTAGCTGATGAACTTACAAAAATAGTTGCTCTATCTCAGATTGAACTTGCACAGCAGGCATATGCTTTGCACCATCTAAACAGATTAAGTTTAAGAATGAAATTTAAGATGACCAGAGAAGCTGATCATCAAATTGTTAAGTAATGTGAAAGATTCCCACAATATTTATCTTTGCCTCATTTGGGGGTAAATCCCCGAGGACTGCTTCCTAACCGTATATGGCAGATAGATATTACCCATATTACTGAGTTTGGAAAATTGAGATATGTGACAATTGACAATTGAAACATATTCAGGATTCATTATGGCCACAGCACAAACTGGGGAGGCTGCCAAACATGTAATAACTCATTGCTTGAAATGCTTTTCATGCATGGGTACCCCAAAGGTAATAAAGATAGACAATGGGTCCAGGTATGTTAACAAATCTTTTCAAAGATTTTGTACTCAATGGGATATCATACATAAGACCGCTATTCCATATAATCCTCAAGGACAAGGAATTGTGGAGCATGCACATAGCTCCTTGAAAACACAACTTCAAAAAATAAAGACAGGGAATTGTATCCTCAGACGCCACACAATGCATTAAATCATGCATCGTTCATGCTAAACTTTCTAAATAATGATGTTCATGAGCAATCAGCAGAGGACAGATTGTGGCATAATGGTACAAAAACCACATTTACTAAAGCAAGGTGGAAGAACTCTTGCACTGGAATATGGAAAGGGCCTGATTCCATCCTAATATGGGGTCAAGGGCACGTTTGTGCTTTGTCACAGGATGAAAATCAAGCCAGATGGCTTCCAGAGTAACTGATTCGGTGCATTCAGCAGAAGGACAACTGACCTGAGGACAGCTTAGCTGACAACTGCCCAGCAGGAGAAAAGGAATAAGAAGAG